TGAATTCAATTAATAGTGACTAGTGATGTCACCCGAATTATATTTCCAGTTCAAAGGCGCATTCTGCCAAAAGTACAATCATGATAAGACAGTGGATCGATCCGTAACCTTGCTTAAACTAGACTGCGATCAGCTATAAAAAGCAAGTATTTATATGTGCCTAAAAGTAGAAGAATCGAAGCTATGAAAAAAGATCACCTGATAGGGGCTATTGACTACTTTTATTTCCAAGGTATAGAAGGTAAGGTCGTTAAGTTAAGAAGTAGTTATCCCAAATGTAAAGAGCAAACTGTAAAAATCATTTTACGTGAACCTTCTCTTTCTAAAAATGCACTGAGTTAGAGGAAATGCGAGACACTAGTGTGAATGTGATATGTGAAGACAAATATGAGCGCAATATGTGATGAAACAGTAAATCAGCGCATAGCCGAGAAGCATTGCCACCATCAAATACTCGATCGGACAAAAGTAGAATATGAACAGTCAAATACACATTTATTGTTCAATGCTGTAAAATTTCACCCGTATGAAAAGATGGGTAGAAGGGATCCAGCAAAACATACATAAGTATTCCCTTAAAACTGCTCTAAACTCCGAGTTGAACCAAGTCGTCCTTAGAGGACCGTCCTCTGAACTTATAAATTCGTGTCGAGCCTTAGTTTATCACGATAAATGATAAAATAAGTCGTTTTGGTTAAAATTTCAGTTAAAGCATCTAATAGGTTAGCGTTTTTACAGAAATTGTGCGTAGACGCATATGCGGCTGTAAGTAGTGGATGACCTAGCACCTCTTTGGAAAGATGAGTTAATATACTCGCAATGATGTCCCCTAGAGTGAGTCTGAATAATAAAGGACATGTTATACATAAAACCTCATGTTATTATTTTTCGTTTTATATGCAGGTTTTTAAGACTTTAAGTTAATTATGCAGTCAAATCAGATATAAGCTATCATTCATTCTGGTAAGGCAAAGAAGTTAAGTTTCATAAATAGATACAAGGATTTACGATGAGGTCTTGGTTTACTTGCATTCAGCGAATAATAAGATGGTAAAATTTTAAGAAACTAATTATTAAATTATCTGAATGACTATCAAATTATTCGGTACCATATGAGGAATATATCAAGTGATTCAAAATTTTGGTTTTTTTAGGTATACTGTCGAGACTACCCGTAGATTTCGAATAAGAACTGTGTTCATCATAGTTTATTTGAAATGATAGAGCATCAGAAATGCCGCCCGTTTCCAATTACTTTTATATAGCCTTGCTTCTCGAAAGCTAATCTTATTCAGGGTGGACTGCAATTTTGATATCTTCTGGGTCTCATAAGCACTCTTAGCGGAACTCTAACCTGGGCAGTGCCGCCACAAATGTCTTTGGGCCACAGAGTAAAACGAATTTCATGCAAAAAAAGACGTAATCTGGACTGCAGTTCTGACATCGCCTAGATCTTATCAACACCCTCAGCGGGAGTCGAACTATGACAATGTAGCGTGTAAGCTCGACACGTTAAACACTCCGCCACATTACCACCAGTGCCCTTGTGTCAGAGAGCAGATGTGAATTTCAAGGAAGCTTGATCAAAGTGAACGTAACATTAAATTCTAAGTGCAATTAAAAATAGTAATAAATAACCTTTTCTAGATATTTTGGTTAATATAGAGGGTTCTAAGTTAGGCGGAGATGTTTTAGGAAAACCAGCGTTGTATTCTCTACTATATGTTCAATTAACTTTACATAACTAATCATGACTATGAATACCAAGATAACGTAACCTCTATTGTAGTTGCAGTCTTTTTTCTCTGCATAGAATTGGTCTGACCAAAAAAAATATCAAGAAACCTTAAGGTTCATGAGTGCGATTAAACTACACAACGAAGATTGCCAAATAATGAAATGATATAAAGCGGACAAGGAAGACCAACGTCAATTATGCCACTTGGCTTTATTAAACTTTTGCAAACTTAGTAATATCACTCCATGATTCTGCATATAATGAGGCACTAACATACATACAGTTAATGGTATTCTTTGATATACCTCGATCCAGAAAATAGGGATAAAGTATGATAGGGAAGGGAGTAAGTTAGTTGGGTCGAAAGCAGGTGGAAACTAGTTAGGATTCTTACCAAAAAACATATTTAAAAACTGGACAATGATGGACAAGAATTCACAAATGATCGCGGACTTGGTAATTATGAGACATGATCTGAAATTGCATATGTATTAGCCTATTGCACGTCCATTAAGTGTAGGCTATAAATAATCGTACCCCTCATTATTTCAATCTTCCGTCTGTAGCTGTGATGATAAAGGAAATGGAGTATTATTCAGACATGACTTCTTTCCAAACCCCTTTTAGCGAATGACTTCAAAATCCTGGAAAGTTAACCATTCCTCTTCTATAACCATTGCAAACTTGATTCTTTCATCAATCTGGTTGATAAACGTAGATACGAAGACCAAAATGGTGTGGCCTGTATTTTGATCTCAGTCTCATTTAGATGTATAGTAGTCATTTGACCCTGTTTTCGTAAGTTGGTCATATTGACAGAAAGACCTAGAAGAACGCATCTTCTACTGAGTCCCAGCGTCGAACCGTATATTAATACCTTCCCAGGAGTTTCGCCGGCATCGTCAGTTAATCTTACCATTCTCAGCACCAAACTACAATCCGTCAAAGAGACAAGTAAGTCAATAACTTGACCAACTTTCTGCCGAAACGGTTGTGCTATTTCTTCTCTTTCTGTCCTGACCCATCTATCACAACTTTCGAGTTAGCAAGATTCCACAAAAGGCGAATTAACCGTGGCGTCATCACATTTGCTGCTTGCCTTACTCTTTTCCCTTTCGAGTGGCTGATCCAACTCGGACCAGCTCTGCGGATCTGCCTCATGTGCCCGTAGATCCGTTTGTCATCATTCTGATTGACCGATTTGAATCGGTTACAGCCCCAGTTTACTCTTTAATCCAGGCGCTATTTCTCAAGGCTCTGATTACCATGCTTGCGGATATTAGGCATTGCCTTCGAGCATCATCTCCTTGATTGAACCCGTGTATAAAGGGCAGACTGTGAACATTTATCTCTGGTCGCCTGTTGCATTTTGAGTGGATTATTAGTCAATTTCGACATAATGAACAATTTCTTATTGGAGGAATTTCATTTTGTATTCAAGTGCATGTAGAAAAGATTCGTAGGTCAATCTCAAAAGAAGAGGACGGATGAATTCCGCTGTACTGCAGCCGATTGGCTTTTATACGATTTTCGGGTTGATGCAGTCCACGATACATCCTACCTCGTTTCGGGTGAAAACGAGCTGAGCTTTCGTTCATCATATGATGGACATCATCAGAGCTGGGTATCATTCCTGTAAAATTCTTAAGTT